AAACCATTTTACATTTACGAATAATCTACATGATTTAGATTGTCTTCGGAAAGATTATTCTACCTAAGCATGAGATAGAACAGCTTATTCAAATAGATATCCGCAGGTTTACATCTTTTAAAATTAGTCTTAGCAAACGACTACTTAGTTTGCACAATTATAAACTCTGTTGTGTCATGTGTGTGATAACTTTTACGTTATTGGTTAAACATGGATCATTTTCTTTGTGAGTGACATGATAATGGGATGAGCCGAAATTTACTAATTGGTTCGACGTTTGGTACTAAATTCTTCTTATCCCATCCGCATTCTTTATGTACAGTCAGTTGTACGCTGTTGAAAAAAAAACTAAACACGAATACACGTACTAATAAAACATTGCATTAAGATAACGAACACTGCATTTTTTGTGCACATCGATTTACAAAAGCGTCTACAAATCACCGTTAACCTAAATGACATCAGTGTGACCATACTTCATCGTATGCAATGAATTTTCATATGATTTCTTCTGTGTACTGTTTAAACATGTGTCAGTTCGAATGACATTCTCACTCTCTGAACAGTTGATACGCATTAGGCTGTGAAACATCATATATCCAATTCTTTGCACGTTGTGATATTACAAATAGTGATATAGATGGTTTGTGGTATTCGTCACAAAATGATCACACTTTTCAGTAGTACTCCGACAGGTATTAGACAGTGAAAGATTTCGCCCGGAAATCAAACCGGTTTATGCATTACTCCTCTATCATCAGTGACTTGCTATGGGTTGAGCATTTCCTATGGAAAGTTATGACTTCCACAGTTTAGCTATGTCAAAAGAAAACCAGTAGTAACCAATGTCATTGGATGGCAATTGCAGTATATTACAAGTTCATTGAAGTTGGAAAAGTATATTGGTAACCAACTCTGTAGCTCAATGACGTAAGGCCAACTTCGAGCTATGTAGCACCTTGTATTCTCTCACTGAATTGTAGTCTGCAGAGGTGACGAAACAATAATTTGATGCTTCTTATCTCTCAAGGGCATTACAACTTAGGTGAATCTGCGACGAATACAACGTAGTTATAAACAATTTATTATCTTGACAATTCACTGAATAAAAATCTTAATAAACTATTTATAACGATAAATCACCTAAATAGAAATTATAGATACATCATATTATAGAAAAACCTTTCATCCCTGGTTAATTACATAATAAAGCTTATGTTTATGTTTATGTTTATATACTATACTTCTGAAGCTATATTTCTTATATAGCTTAAAACGCAAAATAAATATCCATTATTATTACTAGTAGTAGCAGTAGTTGTTGTTGCTGTAATAGTAGTAGTATTGGTATTAACAGATTACTTTATTGATTGTTTACATTAATTATATTAACTGTTGGATATTACAACAGATTCAGTATTCATTTTTATGACATTTAACCATTATGTAAAGTTGTCCACCTAATAAAAAACATTTTCAGTTATTCCATTTGTAATAATTGGAAACGTTAAAATTTTTAACATGATTGACCATATATAGTTCAAAAAATTGCCTATCATTTATGAGAGATTGTCAGTATGATTGTTATAATCTTACAAAATTATTAAACATTCCCAAATGATAATTTAAATCAGAAGAGATTTTTGTGGAGATTGTAGTAATTTTAATAGTTTAGATCATGAGTCAATAGTAGCTAGAACACCATGGAAAACCTGGAAGCACTGGACGGCCGTTTCGTCCTAGTATGGGACTATCAGCTGTTCACATCCACGATCCCGCTCGCGGGATTCGAATGCAGGACCTATCAGTATCGCGCGCGAGTGCTTTACCACTAGATCACTGAGCCGGCATCCAACGGTGGATTTGTCGCTCAATTTTGTGGGATAATTTAAATATAATTTTCATATTATAGAGTATTTCTTTCATCATCACGGAGAAAAGCGACAATCATTTACTAATCAATGACTATATAATTGGCGGCCTGTTTGAATATCTAAGCAGTATGTTGATACCATCTGAATATTTCAAAAAATTATCTCTTTTCTTATTTGTTTTAACACATCATTATGCCTACTAGTCTCATAAACTATTCAGGTGAGTTTGTGAAGAGTTTACGATGTTTCCTTATACAAGTTACAAAAGAGACCAATCGGAGACATAGTGGTTACTAACAACATGCATCGAAAAAAATATACATTATTCAGATGTTAATTCATGAACTGCTAACATCCAACTGACGACCACTCAATACTTATCGTCAGGATCGATCAAGAAATAAGAAACCTGGAAACTTGTTGAAATACCTTATACTGAGAATTCTATATTGTACCAAAAATATATTACTGAATAGAGCTAATAATAATAAATAAATAAATTTTATTGGTGTCCATCAATGACTGAAAATAAAAGTCTTATTTATTTATGGAAAATGAATCAAAGGTTATACCAATACAAGATAAGTCATTGACAGAATATTTGTATTTAAGAGTTAGAATAAAACTGAACGTTAGTACACTGGTGATAGTATTTGATATGATTGACGTAATAGCATAGTATGTTTTAGATTTATATGATGTTTTCTTCCAGTATTATTCATCATTATTGCAGTATTCATATGACCACAAACAGATAATATAATAATATTTCAATTCTCGTTCACTTTGATAAGGTCAACTTTGCTTATGTTTTATTAGGATGAATTTCAACGTTAGTAACTCATGTTTACAAAGGTATTTTATTTAATTTTGTAATTAATCAATATTTCTTCCTGATATTTGTAAAATTATCCATACATCCGTGACATTATATTACAGTATTGTATCATGTAGTTCAATGGATAATGACTAATGAACTAAATAAACGATGCATTTATTACAACTAATGTAATTCATTTTCATCAACAAAAACATTGTTTCACTTGGTATTGTTTGGCTTGTATCTTCCCATTGAGGTTTAAGACTGCAATTAATCAGTCTGTTATTGGCATATGTGCATACTGTGCGTATGCCTCGATATTATCTTAATTCACAAGCTTTTTGTAAGCAATGATGGATAGTGGCTAGCAGTACTGGGTTCGAGTCTCAGAGCGAACATCAACTCTGAGATGCAGGTACATCCAGCTGAAGAGTCCCAAATAGGACGAAACGCGCGTCCTGGATTACACTGCTAGCCACTATACATCATTGCTTACAAAAAAATTGTTTCCTTATTTACTTTTATTGAATAATATTGATTTTTTTTACTTTTTTGGGTTTTCTTTATTATCTAAAACAGTTACACATTGATAAAAGTTTATCATCAACTACAATTCAAACGACAGTTGATTATGGTTTTATCTTTTGGTTAGCCAGAATTTAATTAGTTTTAATACATAAATTTATCTACATAGAAAAGTATATTTAATTAGTCATGACTCATTTCTAATTGTTTATTCATTTATTTACCCATTTACGATGAATCACATCATAAAATTTATCACTATACTGATAAATAATCTGCTTTTTTGACACAGAAAAGAAAATAGATATGTAAATGTAAGCTATAGCAAAATGAATACAGTTTCATTAATAACTAGAAGTTGTATATATTAATAATCAATCTCTTATTACATTTTTAAGTATCAGTAACTCTTTAAAATACTAATAAGAGCTGTTTTGACGAAATATCAAGAACATTTTGTTTCATGATCTATTTGTCTAATATTCATTTGATAAAGAAGAATGCTGAAAAAATTGTGGAAACATTCGGTATTTAGACAATCCATATAGTTTGAAAAACATAATAGAGGTTAAGCGTACGCGCGTGAAACCGATATGTCCTGGGTTCGAATCGTGCGAGGAGGGATCGTGGGTGAGCTCTGATGAGGAGTCTCACAATAGAACAAAACGGTCATCCAGTGCTCAACTATTGAAATTAATACAATGTCTACAAAGATCCCTTCTGATAATAAAAATTACTGTTCTTATGATTACTGAATTATTCAGGATTTATTCTAATGCCCTTAAATTCCTCTGATGACCACATAATATAGAAAATTCTAAGAATATATATATATCCAATCTTTGCTTGTGTTTCAAAGAGTTTACTGGATTACATCAAAATATCAAATTTGTTTGCTGTTTAAAACACTATTGAAAGCCCCTACATAATGTCAATTAAATCACCCTATAAATCTATCGTACAGACGTGCGCAAATACACATTTAAAATAACTTACAAAACGTTTATGATCTTAACTATCTCAAACTATAATAAACAATAAAAATTTCAAATGTCATTTAAAAAGTGTAATGAATACGTTTTGTAAAATGAATTTACTTAAAGAGTGGTTATGAATGTTTTATAGGAAGAATGTAAACATTGAATGACTACTTGTTTGAACCACATTATATGTAATGGCATTTAAATATTTAAACAGAAATACCCGGCCAAGAATCAAATCGATCAGCGTAACAAATAAATAAAATATTTGTCATATTTCGTTGAGTAGAAAAACTGGATTTCCTGACGTTTTGTGATTTAGTGTAAGCCACTTCTTCAGAGAATAAAATTAGATTACTTTTGATTTGGTTATTTATTTATTCTCCGAAGAACTGGCTCTCACTAAGTCATGAAACGTCAGAAAATCTAATTTTTCTACTCATTGGGATATTACAAATATATTATTTATTTATAACAATCTACCCAATGCTCAATTTATTCGAAATTATCAAGTCAAATCTTTGTAATTATACCTACGATTAGTGTAACGTTTACAACAATCATATTCAGGTGACTTGTTATTTATTCATTTCTTAAACAATAAATGTATAACATTTACATTTTTTAAATGATCACTATGGTTTATATGAGAATATAAAATCACCGGTAATATTTTTATCAATTAAACATCAGTTCGAAATATGTAGAATTTTCAATTTTCAATAATTGTGCAGCATAAAATAACATTTTAAAATAATTCTAAGCACTCAGAATATAAAATCATTTAAATTGTAAACCTACTTTAACACCCCAAGCATCTGTTGTCGCATCTAAACTAGACTGCATAGCTGTAGATATTTCTTCTCTGTCCATAAGAATTTGTGCCAAATCTTTAGTTCCTAAAACATTTCTTATGGTTGTCTGTGCTAATAGTCTGGTAGAGCGTGCAGCATCTTCAATATTTAACACAGATGCAACTGGATTTAATACACGATAATATACAACTGCATCCACTGAAACAGTTACTGAATCACGTGTTAATAATTCTTGTGGTGGGATCGCAAATGTCACTGTACGTAAATCCACTTTTCGTACACTATCAATACATGGTAAAATAAAAAATAATCCCGGCCCTTTTGTACCTTTACCTTTTGGTATTAAATTACCCATTCTTAAAACAACAGCTCGTTCATATTCAGCGACAATACGTATACAATAGACAAGTGAAAATGGAAACGTGATCAAAATCAAAAATATACTTAACGCTGCTAAAAAAGTTGTTGTCCAACGCATACTTTTCCCTACAACTTCAGAATCATTTGGTGTATCATTAGTTTCTTGTGGAAGTTTAGTTTGTTTTACGTTTTTCATATCATCAGATGTCATCATTATATCGACTTCATTTTCATAAAGTGAATTTAAATGATTACCATTGTGAATACGATTAGATAAGGATTTAGATTGTTTCTTCATTACACCTTCTTGAGCTTTATGTGACTTGTTTAAACGTATTTTACGTGTTATAAATTCAAAACAATGACATTTATTATATTTGAATAAACTATAGGATTGTTTTTTATGCCATAAATTTTCGTTTAATTGTGGGACATGTAAAGTTAAGACATCATCATAATTCAAATTGTGTTCATTTGATGTTTGAGATAATTCTTGATTATATGATTCAGATGTTACGGTTTTGTCAGACGTTTTACAAGTATATGGACTTAAATTTGATTCAATATCTTGCTGTTGTGATCGTGGTTCAACACCTTGATTGAAATCAAGATTTGATGTCTCTTTATACAATGATGTAGAATAAGAGGTATTCCCTGTTGAAGACATAAATCACATAAAGATCAGTACTCTGTCTACTATATCCATACTGTATTAAAATATGTGAAGAATTTTATTGATATAAAACAATATCTAGTGTTTTGGTGAATTCTTTGTTAAGCTATACATCATCGACCAATCTATTCAATGTAATTCATCAAAGTTAGTTTCGAATATATGACAATAGCATTTTTGCATCTTTTTAAAATTATCATCATGAATCAAACACTAAAAAGCCAATAAATTATATCAAAAAGTATATTTATTCGGAGTTATACAACTACATACAATCATTAAATTTAAACACAAACACATACATAAGTTATAGAAGGAAAAACCACTTTTTTCCCTACGATTAATTTCCTCATTATAGACATATTTCTGTCAGTCTCTCTTTCTTAATTCTAATTGGTTAGTTTCATCATGATCAACCAAGTAATCATTGATGTTATGATAATCTGCATTAAAATAAAAATGTCTATGCTGATGAGGGTACCGGAAGACTTACAATCTAGGAACTGATAACGATACAAAATCGATATGTTAATTTTTTGAAATTTATTTTTCAATGTTCAAATAGTGTGGAAAAGGAGAATTATCCAAGAAATGTGAGAAGTACAAAAATGAACAGGTTCATCTATAATCAGAATAAATGAGTTGCAAGAATATAATTAATGATCGGATTAGAAAACATTCTTTATCAAAGTATTATTTGTTTGTGTGTACATTAGGTATGATGAAAATATTTACATAAAGTTATGTTAGTGTTCTAGCGTTTTTTTAACGAGTTAGTTTTCTACGGGATGGGGTCGCTAACCCCATGCCCAACCCTCCTCCTTTGTCCGGGCTTGGAACCGGCAGTAGCCCCCGAAGGGACTTCAGACGGAGTTAATTTTAATACTTTATAAGAAAATGGTTGAATTTATCATGAGTTTTTCAGGTGTCATTTTGCATGTTCCTGTTAAAAATGTTGTGCAATTATTATTAATATTATTGAATTCCTAGATAAACAAAAAGTAAGAATGGTTTGGGAGTTAAAAAAGATTTACAAAGAATGAAATGATGAGTGAAGCAATCATAATAACAATACTAGAATTAGTGTTGTTTTGCTAATAATCACACTGAAATTGAATTACTGTTAAATAGTATTTACAAGAGCTCAAACTGTAATTATAAAACTTTATTCAATATACTGTTAATTAGATTTACAAAAGCTACATAGCTAGTCATTCAACAAACAGTTAGGAAATATATTGGAAGTGATTTAATTTCAGCTATTGTAAGATCATCAACTAGCTCTATTATTCTATTCCATTACTGCGGTGATAGGACAATACACATAGTGTAGTGAACAGAACACGGCTGGGGACAATCGAATTATATTTAGCACAAAATTACAGAGTTACTTGGTAAAAACCATACTACAATACTTAATTTGCAAAATTTTCAATAATTGTCTCGAACTTCGTTGTTCTAGCATTTTCATACTAATTGCTTTCTATTCCCACTCTTCCTTTCTCGATCTTCTACATCTGCTGCCAGACATTACATTCCTGACTCGCGTCGTACACTACATATATCAATATAAGTAGCACGCACCACACTCGTCCCCCCTTTTATGGCAGTCGTTCTTGCGGTGGTTCATTCTCACACCACAATAGGATTACATACGATCTCAGAAAGATTTAATGTGGAACACCATGTACATATTCTATGTTAAAGGAGATAATGATGTTATGTAAAAAGGGTTTATTTTCAAGAATTCATTAAGTTATGATTTATCAGGACATTACTATCAACAATTACAATAGTGTATTCAGAGTTTTTAAATATCTTAAATTTAATGAAAAGAGAATTAATGTAAAAGTGAGGGTAAATTATCATTTTGTGACCTGTTTATTTGACACTAGAATCCATAATCAATTATACTAAATATCCACTACCTGGTTCAAATTTATGTCGCCATAAACTTATTGATAGAATAATAGGTTACTATAAGCACTAACAGGAGATCAAATCGTTTTAGCTATTGAAATATTGTTTTTATTTTTCAAATATCTCTTATTTATTATAACTTAATTGAAAGAGAAATGCGCAATGTTAAATTTTTCACTATCAATAAAAGTAGTTTGTTCCATCGTTTTTCTTTTCAATAACATAAAATGAAATTCAAAAGTTTATAAGAAGCATTTCATCGTTTAGGTAAACGTTTCAACTATGATTAAATAACTGTCTTTTGCTTCACAATCCAAGTAGTTCAATCAAAGAAAGATTTAAAATGTAATGTTCCTAACAATGTTATATATATATATATATATATATATATATATATATATATATATATATATATATATATATATATATATATGACACTGTTTTCTTATAAATAGAGCCACCATTTTTGTTTCTTAATTTATTCCGTTTTAACCGATTTTCTGTCATATGTATCGTACTACTTCCTCTTATATTCATTCTTAAATTTTCAGCGTATGGTTTTATGTTGTTTTATAAACGTTTGATAGGGTCTTACATAATAACACTTCTAAAAAAACAAACTTATCAACAGTTATCTACTTGATTATTCATTATATTGAAATTAACCAAACATTTGCATTTGTTCATCTCTAGAATGTAATTATTATTATATATATAGATTATTAAATAGCTAATGCTTGTCAGAATATATATATAGAAGTATTCAAGTAACATTATAAACATTTTGGTGACCTATCGGTTAAGTCCATTGAATGTAAAATTATTTTTTTCTTTAATTTACTTAATGTTAGGTTAGTACTCTAAACAGTTAAGTGTGAATTCAGACTTGAAAACATTCAATAAATGAAGTTAAAATCAATTACTTTCATAATGAAATATTAAGCAATTAAAACTTAGGCATTTATTACTGTATATCTTTATAAAATTACCGATATTATTGCTCTTTAAGTATATCTGTGATAATAATGAACTTCCAGATCAACTGAATAGTCATATATTCTTTCACAGATTATAACTACAAATGTCTTGCGTTAAAATTATTATTTTCTTACTGTATTCACACCAGTTTTAGTAAGAAATTCATTATTAAAAAATAACAATTCGTTACTTCTTCAAATTCTATAAATAATTCCATTGAGAATATAATATTGAACAAATGACTTTATATTAGTTGCGTGATTGTATAAATAAATAAATAAATAAATGTAAACATGGTAAACAATTTCACATGTATGATTCAATAAACATAAATATTACAGAAAGATACAAAATAAAACAGTTTATAAGAAAAAGATGGATAGTGACTAGCAGTGGAATCCAGGACGCACATTTCGTCAGTAGCTAAGTGGATACCGCGATAGAATTTGAAACAAACGGTATTAGGTCCGAGTCCCAGTGTGAACATCAAAACTGAGATGCAGGTACATTTATCTGACGATTGTCAAATAGGATGGAATGTGCGTTCTTGATTGCACTGCTAGCCACTATCCATCTTTGCCTATAAAGCTAACGACTTCAGGCAATATCGAGGCAGTCGGCACAGGATGCATATATCTCAACAAATGACTGATCAGTTGCAGTCCTAAATAACAATGGGAAGATACAAGTAGGCAAAAGTAAGTCAATAAAACGGTTTACGTTTATTTGTTATTTATTTATTTGAACACATAGATATCAGTACAAGGCGGCACTAGATACATATGCGCCACACATGTCATTAAATTTGTGTAAGGGCTGTGATACTGCTCGGGTGCTCAAACCGAAGTAGATGGTTTTCTTAGGGAACCACACCCGGAGCCTTTGATCTAAAGGTCTGATCCATAAGGCACTGGAACATCGTAAGGAGATGCAGTCTCATGGTAGCCGGTGACCAACGAATGTTTCATACGCCATTTGTTCCCTCAAGATACTGGAGCCTATGTACACCATTGGTTTAAAAATCAGGGTTTTCCAACTGCCAGAGGTGGACTCTCCATGTCCACCAAACCGGTTAATGCGCCGGACACTTGTTTTTCGTCCTCTCAATTTCGTAAACAACACCCGTGGTGCGAGAAGGCAGTAAGTAGGACTTCCCTGGCAGAGGCTACATACGCGTGGCCATGTGAGAACATTTCGAGAGGGAGAGCGGACTCTCCTCAATCTCGGCCGTACCAGGGCATTTGGGGGCTTCTAAATATAAGTTTACTTGTTATTAATATAGTTATTATTGATTTACAAAATAAAATAATAATAATAAAATAAGTCATCAAAAGTTATCAACTATTTCAACTACAAAGTTTAAATTAGTTTTCTATATAAAAATTCAGTTACTTTATTCCTTTTTCAACTTTATACATTTTTTATTTTCATGACAACAAAAAGAAAAACAACCCTAATATATTTTGATTAGATTTTTCACAATAACTCAAATAAAAAGAAAAAAATTTTGGTTGGTGACAAAAAGAAAATTTATTTTCATAAGAAATGAGAGTACGTAATAAAATACTGTGAATTCCAATTGAAATAAATTACTCATTTGATTTTAATTTATCAAAGTGCATCACTACACTTTTGAATGAATTTGATTTATCAGTATGGGGTTGTGAAAATTATTAAGTTTTGTGATTGAGACTGTGAACTGATTGATGTTGGACAACCATTGAAACAGATAATCCGTGTCGGGTAGTGACAAGTATCTACTTCAGTACAATGAAAGATGGTCGCTCAATCTCGTGGTTGAGGTTAGACATTATTACCGTTGGATGCCGGCTCAGTGGTATGCCATAGGTTCGAACCCTGTGAGCGGGGTCGTGGATGCGCACTACTGAAGAGTCCCACAATAGGACGAAACGGCCGTTCAGTGCTTCTAAGTTTTCAATGGTGATCTTACATCAATCGATTCATGATCTCAATCAATAATTTGATTTATTTATAAGTGTGAGTTATAAAACAAATACAAGTATATTTCTAACTTATTACGAGACGACATTATTTCAGCAACAAATATCGAGTACGTTCAAAATCATCGAAAAATTAGTTATGATTAATTAAATCTTTTTTTCTCCACTAAACTAAATATTTACGGTAAATATATATTTACATGTCAGTCGAGAGGATATGTCCATTTAGAAGGGGGATTAACAATTTCTTTACAATCATACATAAATTCACAGTTGGTAAACATGGTTTTGATATAATGGACAAATACTTCGATGGTTTTAATATCTAGCATCTGACAGTGAAAGAACATCATATTTCACAGAA